TTGGTTTATTCCTTGATTTCCACACGGATTTTCGTGTCCAGTCTTCACTTTGGGTTTTTAGTTGTGTCCCCCCCCCCTCATTCTTTAGAAACCCCGATGTTTTTCTGGAAGTCAGTTTTGAGTTGGCTGTTTTCTCATGTGTAATGTTTCTGTTGGTTTTCTTTGTCCCGCCCGCTCTCACCCACCTCCAATCCACTCCCTCTCCTGCACCCTGAAGACAAGTGATATTTTTCCTTGTTTTTTAAAACAGCACTAAAATATCTATCTACCTACCTACCTACCTACCTACCTTTCTAAAGGGGTGTACACTGTGATGCCACCAATGACAACAGCACCCTCCCTTGAAAAACCTCACTATTTAAGCCACATGTGGAAGAAAATAAACTGACTCCATGAGTGTGAAAATGCACAATCCAGCACAGGAATGGTATCCCAACCGTCTGTATTGGGATCAAAGGGGGGAGCTATCCTTGGTCTACCCACCCTCCCACCCCAGCCAGCCAGGAAAAGTCCAAAAGCCGAAGCTTACTACATCCTTACCTTTTCAAAAGGTGCTCCTTGGGGAACTCCAGTGTGAGGTCCGGCCTCCGTTGTTAATATTTCCTGGGCTATCGTGGTGGTTTCGCTCTCCTGTTGAGTTGTGTGGGGGAGTGTTTGATTTGCAGGCATCGTAGTGGTTACACCTAGAAGCCAAAATCTGGATATCACACAGAACTCTCCAATGCTTACATGGTCAGATCACACTTGCCAGGAAGGAAGACAGCTCAAAAGCAGAGAGGGACTGAAAAGACATTTATTTGGCTCATGTGAAAACGAGTTGGTGAACATCCTACGCTAGGAGGCAGAAGTAGAATCCTGACTTGTGATGGAAAAATGTGGGTTTAATTGCTTTAAGAATGATAAAACTTCCCGAAAGATCATTCTGCAAAAATGAAGATAAAAAGGAATGTCACAGTGACACAGAATCTGGACACAGTGATGACATTTCAGTGAACCAGCTTGTTTTAAATCCCACCATGTTCTGATTTATCATTTCCCTGATGAATTGGAGACATAAACATACAAAGCTGCCTTCTACTGAATCAGACCCTTGGTCCATCAGTGTTAGTATTGTCTATTCAGGGTGGCAGTGGCTGTCCAAGGTCCCGTATCACAGTCTTCCACATCACCTGCTGCCTGGTCCTTTTAACTGGAGATGCTGGGGATGGAACCTGGGACCTTCTGCATGCCAAGCAGATGCTCTGTCACTGAGCTGTGCCTCCTCAACCAGGGGACAGCAACCAGGTGTCCCTAGGCCTAAGCACTATCCTCAGACTGGTGGCTTCCAGGCATCTAAATTTGCTCAGCAATGATGAAGCACATGGGATGAGCTATATGTGGTTCAGATTCTACCATCGTTATGAAAATGCCCCCGACCACGCTGTTCTGTCTCAGCCTTACTCCACAACCCCATGTGCAGTTATCAAAATTATATTAATAAAATGTCACCTTACAGGGTTGTTGAAGTAAATGCTACAAGTTACTCTATGTGAAACCCTACTGTTATTGTTATATAGTCCATATCTAGGTATCTTCATATTTAGACAGTACTTTAGAACAGTCTGTCACTGAGCTGTGCCTCCTCAACCAGGGGACAGCAACCAGGTGTCCCTAGGCCTAAGCACTATCCTCAGACTGGTGGCTTCCAGGCATCTAAATTTGCTCAGCAATGATGAAGCACATGGGATGAGCTATATGTGGTTCAGATTTTACCATCGTTATGAAAATGCCCCCGGCCACGCTGTTCTGTCTCAGCCTTACTCCACAACCCCGTGTGCAGTTATCAGAATTATAGTAATAAAATGTCACCTTACAGGGTTGTTCAAGTAAATGCTACAAGTTACTCTACGTGAAACCCTACTGTTACTGTTATATAGCCCATATCTAGGTATCTTCATATTTAGACAGTGCTTGAGAACAGTCAGAACATTTCACATACATTATTTCTGTAGTCCTTAAAGTATTATCATCCTGTTGCAGCAGTTCAGCTGAAGGTAAATAGCAGAATTGGAGACATAAATAGCAGGATTTTGTCTAAGACTTTCAGGAGAATTCATGGTTGAGACAAATTTTAAAGCAGAGCCCAAGAGCTCAAACAGATGAAATGAAGTTCAAAAGATCACTGCCTGGTTCAGCCCTGTGTAGCCTCAATTTGCCTAGGGGCCACACAGGGAAACGTTTTAAAACATGGTTTTAACACTTCATCCTTCTCTCAGTTTTGCGGTTTGAAACCAGAATCCTTGATCTGTTAGCATTCTGTCAGAGTATTATTATTCATTCTTTTATTAATGTATGGCTGTTATTGTTATTAAGAGAAAAGATTCTTGCCTGAGGAATATACAGGTAAAGAGATTAAAATATACAGTGCCTTGCTCTGTGACTTCCGTGACTTCAGTGGGGACCACAGATCCTTCTAAGAGATGATGTCCTGAAAAATCCACATCTTCAGCATAACTTGACAGAGTTGGTGGGGGTGCCACTGGTCCAGAGGTTGTCTCTTCGGAGAGATTCCCAACCAGTTGCTAAGCAAGAATGGAAAGCAAACATCATCTGGACATACGGCCACAGAAAAGGTTTTATTATATGAAGTGAAGTATAAAAAAAATAGCTTTTGACATTTAACAATATCTGTTCAGTTCCCTTGCAAATAAATCTGCAGTTCCAATCCATGCTTAATATTACACAGATCTTTGCAGTGTATGAAGGCCAAACTAGATAAACTGATGGAAGGTCAGTGAATCAATCCAGGACCTTCATAAGCTTCCGTCTTAAGCTGGTCAGTTTATCCAAAATGCATTCTGTCAAAAGGCTGGAAGCCTCTCTTTCCCCTCCCCCCACCCTCCACCTTGTATGAAAAGCTCCTTACTAGTCCATGAATGTAGAAATGACCATGCCTGGGACCCCTCATTTGCTCCTCAATGCAGCTAGATGAATCCCCCATATCTGCCCAGGAAAGAAGCAGCAGTCCCCTCTGCCCTCCAGGCTGATACCCCACGACTCACGGGGATCTGGCTAGGCTTCCAATTACCTTCCCTGGAGATCTCTTCTTCTTGTGATTACTCTTGCTGTTGCTGGCCACAAAGCCAGGCTTACTAACCAGTCCATAAGAACATAAGAGAAGCCAAGGTTGGATCAGGCCAATGGCGCATCCAGTCCAACACTCTGTCACACAGTGGCCAAAAATACCAGGTGCTATCAGGAGGTCCACCAGGACACTAAAAGTCCTCCCCAGAGGTCATTTCGGGGAGAATCGCGGGGGATCGCAGTTCCCCCGGGTGAGGTATGGGGGGCGGGGCACATGACGAAGCCCCACCCCCTGCTTCCGGCCGCCCCGCTTCCGGCCCTCATTCAGACAGGAGGAGGCAGGAGAAGAGGGAGGGTAAGTTGCTTCCTCCCTGCCTCTCCCCACCCCTGCCTGCCTGGGGCCAGGGAGGGCCTTCGCGGGGCTTCCTTACACTCCCGGCGGCCGGGACCGTTGGGGGCAGGGTGTGTGGCCTTATGACACACTTCCGGTGATGTCAGGGGGTGTGGCATATGCTAATGAGTTATG